CTTCATGAAAAACACATTCAGGTTCATTGTATTTATTCTAAGAAAAGAGAAAATCAAGTTGGTGGTTAACCTAATGAGCACATGGCAGCAGTTCATAGCAGTTAGAAGCAGTTAACATTTTAAGGTAAGGGTTAGGGTCATTTTATTTATACAGCACATTTTCAGCAACAAGGCAATTCAAAGTGCTTTACGTGAGTTAAAAGGAAATACAAACAAAATAACAAAACAAAGGAAAGAAAACTAATTTAATGTTCTAAAGTATGTAAACCAAGTGCTCCTGTTCAGGGTTGCTAAGTATCCAATTCCATTTCTAAATAGTGAGTACTCTACAGTTTCTGATAACATAAGCTAAAGAGTGACTGATCTAATTCCTTTTCTGGGTTAAAAGTAATAGAAACTAAGCAGTGACTGTTCCTGTTAAGTATTTCCGGATTCCTAGTTCGTAGTTATTCTAATTCTAATTCTGATCCCGCTGGGTTTGTCCCCGCAGGACAACAGGGCTCTCCTCTGCCCAGACTTCTTGTCAAAAATTTGATCAATTTCTTTAAGAGATCGGTTGACTAGATCCATAATTTGTAGATTTGGATGATGTGCAAAGAAAGGCTCCAAAAATATAGAAAAAGACAGAAGAAAAACAGAGCAAGCAGAGCAGGCATAGGTAGGGAAGGAGCAGAGGAAAAAAGCGTCCGCCTTCACCGAGAGCAAGAGAAAAGGTCATTTTACAATTGAACATACCTAAAATGGGAAACATTAACATTGAAAACTTTTAATAACATACACACAACACAGCAAATTTACTCATGAACCACTGTGCACTATCAGATGTGTCCAAAATATATTTTAAAATATAATTCTTGTAAAGAAAACACAGAGCTGATATCTCAGTGAGACAGCAACAGAAAAAGGGAATAAGTTACCAGTTACTATGGTAACCACCAATTGCCAAAGTAACATAACAGAACTTAAAACATCAATAAATATCTAAAGAAACAACTTGTTGAATAAACAAAATAAATTCAAAGAACAAATAAGCAAATTTTGTCAAACTTCACATTTATAATATTGTTCAAATAAAACCCTGTCACATATCATGTATTTAAAAACATGAGGCCAGTCTCATTTGTGATGAATGTCATTCAGTGTGTAGATGACAAACTGAATGTCAAAGTGTGTCATTGGGTGGGAGAATTTTTCTTGTTGGTTGATTTCAGAAAGAACTCCCTTTTTAGAAGCCTGTGTTTGTTCTGTTGCATTGGAACATTTTGTTCAAAACATGTAAAGCAAATTATGATTCTGTAAAAAAAAAAAAAAAGAAGAAAGAACACAAACTATTAATAATAAAGATTATGCTGTTATTCCAAAATATGCTATGTGAGATAAATGTTTGTCATTTTGTCAGAGCCCGTTACATCTCCTCCTACCCTCCCTCTCTCCATCCGTGAGCCGGTCCGCTGTACCTGCTCTATGCAGGGCACGGGCTTCTCCTGTCCCAGTGGGGTCGGAGGTCGCCCCCCTCTCATGAAGGTGGTGACAGGAGACATTTTGGTGGACATCACAGGCAGGAACGTCTCTGAGTATCTGCTCTTCACTTCGGACAGAGTGCGGCTCCACAGGTATTGCTGGGCAGGTGCCAGTGTTCCATCAGATCATCATACGCTGTCAGAATAGCATAC